AGGCATAATTATTCTCTTTGCACCCTGTATAATAACGTACTAATGCTAACATTAAAATTAATGACTAGGACTGTTTATATCATTAGCCGATAATTTTTTCGAAATAAACAATAAATGATATAAACGAAGGATAAAAGGAACTAAATAAATTACTGTACAAACTAAAATAAAAAAACTTAAAAATTATTGACTATTCCCGTTACTTTGGCACCACCAAAACGCTGTGAACTGTTTAAGGTTTCGTTTTGGTGGTGGTTTGGACTAGTTGTCACTCAAGATAAGTCACAGAAGGTCTATATTAAACATATTTAAGTACCGTTTTGTGTTTTAATATTAAATTACGAAAAGTTTGGTCTACATATATATATACGTCTAAATCAGTGAATTTTATAACGTTTTTCGAATAAAAAAAACTCCCACTTATTCAAAACTTTGAGGGATCTTTAAAAGTGAGTCCTGTATAATAGTATATTGTTTTATAAGGAGTAAAAAAACACGCGAGGCTGTACGTTTGACATTACAGGCAAGGCACAAAAAGTAATTTTTACTCTAAATAGTATATCCAATTTTTTTAAATGTCACAAATAATTTTTTAAACAACAAAAAAACGTTGCAAATAATATGAAAAGATTTAAAAATCTGTGGTAATACCTTGTAAGTAATTTATACAAGGTGTCCCAGAAATAAGTGCAAGTATTTTAACTGGTAGTATAGTTCAACCCCAGAAACACGCCTATGAGGTTTTTTCACGAAAAATTTTTTTTTGAAAATTCGTAATTTTATCAAAAAATTTTTGGAATTTTTTTTGTTTTTATTAAAAAAAATAGGTGCCCGGTGGCGTAGAGGTACAGGCTCTCGTCTACCAATCTCAAGGTAGTAGGTTCGAATCCTACACCCGGCATTTCATCAGCCGACTATTTTTATTAAAATAAAAATAGTTTGGGTACCTAGGTCGACTCAGCCTTAAATGAGTACTTGGGATTCACAACCCTGAGGTAATAATAGGCGGTTGAAGCGTAGTGCTAGCCACATTACCTCCCTTGTATACCGAACGGCTCTAGTATGGCAAGCTGTACCTTGCTACTCACAAGGTGTTAAACGCTATATACGGGAGCTATTATTATTATTATATTAAAAAAAAATAATTTCTTGATAATATGGCAACATAGATAGTAGATTAAATTTACAAGAAAGAAAATCTAGAAAATATTGAGTGGTTCTCAAAATTTTAGCAAAAAATCATTTTTTTTTGGAAATTTTCAAAGTAAAATAACTCCGTTATTTTGGACATATTTGAAAAACGGTAAAGAGAAAATATGTTTCTTTTATCGAGATCTACCACTCCTTAAAATACTTGCACTTATTTCTGGGACACCCTGTATATAGAGAAACTATGGTTACACTCCTTGAATTTGACACTTTTTGTCAGTTTAATAATATATTGTTGTATATACTTTTGTGCTTAGGCGTGAAAGCGCTATACTTTTATGCAGGCTTTAATGCCTAGGCGTTAAAATGATTTTTTCATATTGCCAATCACGTCGCAAAAATTAATACTTCTGTGACGCTTGAAAAAAAAATTAAATGTGAACCAGTTTTTGTGAAAATTTCACACCTCTACTTTTCAACCAATAACATGCTTTAATGTTGACTAGTTACCATGGCAACTGAAAAAATTTCCGGAAATTTTTTCGAGGCGCCACGAAACTTTAGTGGAAATTTTTTGACAGTTGAAAAGGTTGAACTTAACAAATTGAAATTATTTTAAAATGTCATGTTGGATTAATATTTTTTTTTTCAAATTTAGGTGTGAAATTTTCTTACCGAATACCACGCAAGCTTAAATTATTCCTGGAAATTTTCTTTCGGGCACGAATATTTTAGGAAAATTATCCCTCGTCTTCGACTCGGGATAATTTTCAAAATATTCGTGCCCTCAAAAAAATTTCCGAAAATAATTTAAGCTCTTGTGATATTATAAGTGAAAATTTAATGTTTGTAGTATTAAAGAAATGGCAGTAATTGTTTTTATTTAACTGCTTCATGTTTTTACTTTAATTTTGTACTGTTATATACAGAATCTCATTATATTATCAAATCAATATTATTTTGAAACTAATACACTGACCGACACGAAAATCGGACACTTTCAATTGGTTTTGTTTTAGTCTTTCGATTTTTTAAACAATTTGTAGCAAAATTATTTGACTGTTTTAGCCATTATTTGACTTGAGTCCCCAGCTCTCAATTATACAAGGGAAAACAAAATGTTATTTTTCTACATTCTCCAACAAAAAATAATTACTTAATAATACGGTTATTTTTAACCTTCTTACTTTGAAAAACGATTCCAGAAAGTGATTGAAACTTTCACCAAAATAACTAAGAGGCTAAGAAAAGAGGCTAAAAAGTCAAATAATTTAGTCTAAATTCCTTAAAAAAATATCAAAATCTGTCCACTAGAACAAGCTATATTAATATTTAAAATAAATGAAAATTTTAAGGTGTCAATTTTTTTGTGTTGATCAGTGTCTTAACTTTTATTGATTATGGCATATCTATACTTAAATATGTTCATAAGACCTTACACAACAAAATCAAATTAAAAAAATAAATCAAAGAAAAACAACATTAGAAACTAAAACCTCTGCTATATCGGCTAATAGTACTTCCTGATACCATAGCCAAAACGTTTTTTATTAAAATTAAATAATTCTAAATAAATAAATTAGTTGTAATAATAAGTACGACCGATCTCACAAAGCATATATACAAGCGACTATTTAATAGTATTTTTAAGTACTTAGCTGCCGAGGAGGACTCACCCTGTATATCTACAGGGTGGAGTTAAAAATATATTAGGCACTTTATTTAAGTCTTTCAGAAACACTTTCTATGTAAGGCACTTAAATTTGGTGTTTTTTAACAATAAAGTTAACATCATTCGGCATATTTCACTCATATTTTTCTACGTAATAAGTAATACTACACTTTGGTAAAATAAATATTATAAACTACGGTGTCGTTGTGAAATGAGGGCTGATTATATTTTCGGAACTACCCTTGTTTATGGTGATAGTTGTCTAGGGCAATGAAGAAAATTGGGTTGGTTTTTTTCTTTGTACAGTCTATTGCATCGCCGACCTGGACATAGGAAATCCCATGTAAATTTAAAAAAAAATTAAGTTTTCCCCATTTTATTTTATAGAAAAATGTATTTGAAACTTTTTAAAGAAATCCTTAAAATTGTTCATTTTCAATAGCTTCTACGAATTTCTTTATTATTATTAATTCTACGAATTAATTGATTTTTTTTAATAGTGTAGGGCTGTTATGGAGGAAATAGTCTTTTAAAGGATTTGTTTTCTGTATATTTTCCAAATACGCTAGAACAGTCAGTTATTAAAGACTAGAAATGTAAAACGAAGAATTCCAACAGGAACAGTTATTAAAGACAGTATAACTATAAAAGTTATTAAAGACAGTAACTATAAAAAGAATAATATTGATAAGGATCTTCGAGAAATAATAAATGAAAATGAAGGATATAATATACTATAGAGGATATAATATACTGTTCCATTTAAAAAAAAAAAACGAAGAAAAACTTTTTCATATTTTAGAAAGTTTGGCACAGATTTTTGAACACCCTGTATAGTGAGAGATTACGATATTTGTTGAAAAGTAAGTACGGTAATCGCAAAACATTTTCCGATGCATGTCATCAATCATATCGAAATTGACATTAAAGCCCATAAACCTGACTAAATAAAAATTTGACAAAAATGTTTAAATTTGTTGTATAATTTAAGATACCGAGCTCTCTGTCGATTTTGTCAAAAACCGAAATGTCTCAGATTGCAACTAAAATATGCTTGGTGATAGTTCATTTTACGTAGAATTGACAGCCGCACACAGTTTTTCAATAATTGTAACAGATCTTGAGTTATTTGTGAAAATCTACAAAAGAAATAGTTTTTTTCTATTTTCCGAAACATTTAACAACGAATATATCTGGAACAAAAAGCGCAAATCTCAAAAACGAAACGGTTTTGTAAAGTGCATTTTCAGGTCTACAACATACTACGAAATAAGCAAAAACGATTTTTCAAAATTTTTTGGAAAAATTCCTCGGCACCCCCCTGTCGATTTTGTCAAAAACCGAAATATCTCAGATTGCAACTAAAATATTCTTACTGATAGTTAATCAGTTCATTTTACGTTGAATTTACAGCCGCACGCCGTTTTTCAATATCTGTAACAGATCTTGAGTTACTTGAGAAAATCTACAAAAGAAATATTTTTTTCTGTTTTCAGAGAAAAATAAATACCGAGATCTTTATTTTACTTTATAGAGCAAATGATTGTAACATATATATTTTATTTAGATTAAAGCTGCAAAAATTAGTTGAAAGCGATTTTTATTATTGCCATGTTGGTCACATTGCGCCGCGATCAGCATCGTTGTCGTTTATTATTTGACAATTATCATGTCAGTCATTATTTGGTATAATATTAAGTTGTTGTTGAATCTTTGGGATTAATAGTTGTTTTTGTCGTTATTTTCGTAGTGTTTTTTGTAAATTGTACTTTTAAGCACAAACAGTTCTTTTAAGCACTAAATTTTCGAGTTTTTGTATTTAATTTCTTGAAATTGTGTGTTGAAAATATGCCGAAGCAAAGAGCTTGTAGCTTTCCTGATAAACTATTTTGAACGAGAACGTGACAATAAAGGTCCTTTATTACCCTTGATTGTTTCCCAATTTTACATTAAGATTCATCTTATAAATTGATCATAATCTGACAGCGCTGTTGCTATCGCTTGTCACTCAAAGTTGATCAAATGCCTGGGAAATTGTTTTGCTATTACTTAATATAGTTTTGATTTCAAGACATTTCTTGTATTTTTAATTTTTTTTAAAGGCTGATTTTTTTTTAATTTATTTATTAATATTTTTGAAACTATGAAAACATATTTAATAATATCTTAGGATTATGTAAAGGCGATCAAAAAGGAAGCCAACAATGCAATAATATACAGGGTGTTCTATTTAAGAAAAATCATCCCGATCCTCTCACACTTTCTTAAGCCACCCTGTAGCAGTTAAAATATCTTCTTGAAATACATCCTAACACATACTTTAGGTCTGCACCTAAACAAAATTCCTAATTTTGTTGTTATAGGAGCTACAGATGCCTGACGCACTATTGCCGGACCCTGTATAGAGATCTGTCAAAAATATCATATTCAACAAAGTTTTCAAATAATTAAAGAACAGCCGCTAATAATGAACTTTTAATAACTTCTTTGATAGGGATAGTAAAACTCGATTAGAAATGATATTTCTATGCCTATTCTGCCGTCGTTTTAGCCTCTTTTTCGATTTTCTGTTCTGCCAAAAATTCTATCATAAACTCAAAAATCCCTCAAACACGGGTAAACCAAAAAATAAACTCAAGCCCTATATACACAACGACACGCTACAATATACTTGGCACGAAGAAGAATTCACAGTCTACGAAGTAAATACTTTTTTATTGAGATTCTAAATAACTAGATGAGAAAGAATGGTCCCTGGGAGGAATTAAGAGTAATTTATCACTATAATATATCTAGATTGCGCAGAATTACTTTAAACTTTGATGGCCATGATGCTGAACGGCGTGCTGTTCTTCTTCTCCGAGGAACTCCTCGAAAAATCGACCGGCTGGTCTTGGGCCAGCATGTGGTCAAACACGGAGGCGTTCAGGATGACCGAGGGATGTTTTATGGTACTGTACAGGATTCTTTCTGGATTTGGTGAGATGACGGTGGATCTGTACAGCATGGGTGTCCTTATTGCATCTGCTGATCGGATTACGGAATCCGTCAGATGGTTGGCCGAGACTATGACTGGGGTTGGTGAAGCTATTGACTTTTCTGTAAGAAAATTTTGTGTAATTACATAACGATCAAATAAAGTAGTATTTAACATAAACTCATCTGATATAAATCACATGAGTATACAGGGTGTCCCAGGCTGAGCGTGCATTGGAAGTTTCTAGAGAACTACAAGATCTACATCGGAGATTTTTTGCACATAATTGTTTCACAATGAGATCTATCGATTATAAATATTTTCAATATGGCGACACTTCCGGAAATACTGGAAGTTGACAGCAACTTTCTTATTTTAAATGGGTACCCCAATATTTTATTATATATTTAAATTATCTGTAAAATTTTATGAATTTTGATATCAAACACTTTATACCTAACATTAACCGTTTTTGAGAAAAAAAATTTAAAATGTTCGGAGGAAAAAAACTGCCTGTCAAAAAAATGTGTATAGCCTAAACGTCAAATTTAGTGATTACCACAGCCACTGTGACATAAAGAGAAGACATTCAATTTCTAAAAGACTATTTCAAAAATTAAATTGTTTGATTGTCATATAATATTGACTTTTGCTGTCATGGAATCGAGAGATTAAAAAATTACCATAAATCATTTTTTGTACAAACGTCAGTAAATATGTAATCATGCTGTCAGTGACTAAAATATGAAATTATGTCTGATTATGTCACTTATAGTAAAAGTCATTTACTTGTAGCACTGGCACAAGTTTATGGTTGCTAGGGTAATTGTTATCGCTTCACTGCTAAAAGTAAATCAAATCCAAGAATCAAACCCTTTAGCACCGGTGCTAAAAGTAAATGACTTTTACCATCAGTGACATAATGTCACATTTTAGGCACTGACAGCATGCGTTAAAAATTACATTTTTACTGACGTTTGTAGAAAAATAACTATTTTTCAAACGGAAACCCACTTTTTTTATTTCACTAGTGAAAAGGTTTTTTAATTCCTTAGTTTTTGATTATACATATAGTTACATTAGTATAGTTCCTATACCTAAAATAAATCGTTTTTAAGTTATTTACGATTTAAATTTAAAGCGTAAATATTTCTTGATTTTATCTAGCTTTTTTTGGCATTAAGTGTCAAACCATCAGACAGTTTATTTCCTTTTGTCAAAAAAATACTTCCTACAGAAAATTTCAAATTTTGATGTATTGCAGACAAATTTAATAATTATTATTAAAAGTAAAATACTATATCATCATATTTATTATCAGTCAAACTGTGTTAATTTTTGTGCTGATTTATATCAAGAATAAAAATTATTATAAGGTAGTGACTGCTCTGGACAAGTAAAAGCATTTTATAAAATACAATAATGTTTAATTTCAAAAATTGACTGAAAAAAAATATCTTTGAATTAAAATGACAAAACATAACTGTAACTGTCCGAATTCTATTGTTGTACAGACTATATCGGAGTCCTAACATACAGTGTCTGTTAGCAAAATAACACTGATGTCTGTTGTTATCTTTACTTTTTTTAGTAATAAAACGTGGTTCATATCATTACGAATTATGAAATATGAAATTTAAATTGAAATATGAGTATTGAATTAAAGTATTGGATGATTTTTTAATGATTTCGTTTTGATATTTTTACTTAGGTTTTGTTAGGTTATTCCGAATTATTATATTCTGTTTTTAGAATTCAAAACTACAGAGTGATGTATCCAAAAATTGAATTAACATTTGAATTAGTTTTCGTAGTTTGACAAAAAATGATCATAAACAAATTAAATTAATTAATATTGTTAAAAAATATGTAATGCCTTTAATTTAAAAATACGTCTATGAAACAAATAGAGAACTACGTATTGAGCGGTTCAAAAATTGACAATTTGAAATGATATGGAATTGATTTTATGTACTAACCTTTATCTGGAGAAGAATCTCGAGAATTTCGGTTCATTCTCATACAAGATGACTCCTCGTGCTTGTACAGGTACGATTTCAAGGCAAAGGCTTTGCCGCAACGGCCACAAACGTGAGGCTTGGTGTTGGAGTGCGTCTGGATGTGAGCACGGAGATTGGATTTGTCTGCGAAGGCTTTCGCGCAGATTGTGCATTGAAATGGCTTTTCACCTATTCACACCAAGAAAATTTAAATTAGTTTCAACACTAACACATAACATATTTTAGTAGATATCTTTCATACGAAGCGGAGAATCCAAGGAGAACGACAGTTTGTAGAAAAAAATAAAATTTTGGGATTGTATATGAAGGTTAATTTAGAGCATTTTTTAAATATGTATGTATAATTCTAGAGTTCTAAAGTATGTCCCCAAAAATAAGTTACACATTAAAGTTCTATTTTTTGGTAACGGAACACCCTATATACAGAGTGTTTCAAAACAAATGCGAAAAGCTTCAGGGGGTGATTCCTTGTTCAAAATAAAGGGTAGTTTGCTTCATAAACGTTGGGTCAAAAGTCAACCATTAGGGAGATATTGCGGTACAAAGATGACGGAAAAATAATATTTTTATTTTTTATCTTGAAAACGAAAAGAGATAGACTAATAAAATTTTATAGAAGCATTACTGTTATGAAAACACACTTTCTGGTAATTTTTTCACTTTTTTAAAATGAGTGGAAGGGGTTGAAATAAACTACCCCTATCATTCTTGTTAACGAAATTTAAAGAAAAATCTTATCAAACACATGCAAAAAAATAATTTGGATAGTTTAGTTTGTTTAGAAACTTTTTTATCTCTTGTATTTTTTTTTATAAAACTCACCGATTTGAAATTAAAAATAAAATGTAAAGTATTACATGTCAGGACAAAAACATTTTCTGATAAAAGAATCTAGTGGGCTGCTGTAATTTTTTTAGGAAAAAATCTAGTCGGCCGCTGTTACTTTTAGGATGTCCCTAATATTATTTTATTTGACATTACTCTACTGCAATACGTTATTATCTAGATGATTATTATTATCGTTATTATCACTAGATTCTTAATCTAAAAATGTTTTTTTCTGACATGTAATGCTTTACATTTTATTTTAATTTCCAATCGGTGAGTTTTATCAAAAAAAACACAAGAGGTAAAAAAGTTTCTAAACAAACTAAACTATCAAATTAAAGCATTTGCATGTGTTTGATAAGATTTTCTTTAAATTTCGTTAACAAGAATGATAGAGGTAGTTTATTTCAATCCCTTCCACTCATTTTTTAAAAAGTAAAAAGATTACCTGAAAGTGTGTTTTCATAACAGTAATGCTTCCATAAAATTTCATTAGTCATCTCTTTTCGTTTTCAAGATAAAAAATAAAAACATTATTTTTCCGCCATCTTTGTACCGCGATATCTCCCTAATGGTTGACTTTTGACCCAACGTTTATAAAGCAAACTACCCTTTATTTTGAACAAGGAATCACCCCCTAAAGTTTTTCGCATTTGTTTTGAAACACCCTGTATGTATTAACTGGTTTTAGGATTCTAGGAAAAAAATAAAGGTGAGTTCTAAAAATGAAGAACACATTTTAAATTTCAATAAAAGCTACCTAACGTGGAATTTACCCTTACAGGACTATAAATTAAATTAAATTTTGAATCGAAAAATTATACAGTGTGTGACAAAATTAATATTGAACATTGGTCACTTTTAAAAGCAAGATATTCTTTTATTTTCTATGAAACACCCACTGTATTATTCCGATATTCAATGTAGAATTAATATCTCTTTAAAATAATGTCTATAATAGGTTGCCTACCAATCAAACAAAGATTTTCTTAGATATTTTTATTTTTTGATGATTTATTGTTAGTAAATATATCTTTATTATGTGATAAAATCTAGGTGGCTGTAATATGGCTAACGTTAATTTAACAAAAATTAAAGAACGCACCCAAACAGCATTTGGGCGTCGGGACAACGCTGTGTCACGCGACCAAACGTCCGGGCGCAACGTCGGCACAACCTCGTGCCAACCCTAGTCTGCACTAGTTTGGAGAATAATTTTTGGGTCGAAACGACGTTGGATACCGACGTTGGCTAGAAGCCTAATTTGGTACAAACTTCAACGTTGTTTAAAATCCTAATTCACAGAAATACAAAACTAATATGGCGTCTAAGTCGCGTTTTATCCTAAATTGGAATAATTATAGTAAAAATATTATTTTTATGATTTAGTTAGAGACATATGTCAGATGGCAGTGAAGGAAAACAAAACAAAAGTATTTAAGTGTGGAGGATGTTTGAAGGTTATAATTATTGAAACACTTTAACCGACTCTGTAACTCGTTACCCAAGGCAAAAAAGTTAAACGCAAACAACTTTATTGATAAATGTATTGTTTCTACTTTGAAAAATACTAATGGGCCTTAAAATTAAAGAAGTTTTAAAAATTTTCTTGAATTTTTTTTTTAGTAAAATGAGAATAATTTATTCGCAGTCGAAAAAATTGTTTCCGCGTGTTTTTTAGGGTCAAATATTTCAAGTTAATGTATCCAAAAAGCAGGAATTGCTATTTTAGGAACGAAACATTTTCTTATTTAACAACATGGCGGCTTTCACTTTGTTTTTTTGGAGATTAAGATGGAGTAGTTCGAATAGTCGCATACTGGACTAATAAAGTCGCTGTTCGGCCTTAACAGGTAGTATACTAGTGGCAAGATTGCCTAATTTAGTCATCCTAGAGTCTAGCTTGTGCCGCCCTCTATAATCTAAATAAACGAGGAAGTGGATAAACTATCGGTAATATATGTCGATGTATATTTAAATTTAGTTTTATATGTACCTTTCTTATTGCTTATGTCCAATTTTAATTAAGTTTTTTTTTTATAAAAACAAAAGCAGCACTGAACTGTCTGACTGAACAGAACAATGAAGTGAAAATTTAAGATTTAAGGTTATGTTTCAATACAGTTGCAAAAGGTAGTGACTCGACGTCCTACCAACGTAAGAATAAGGAAATCTAAACAACGTTGGAATTAGTAAAACAGATGACGTTTGCATAACGTTGGAATAGGTCCTGAAACTGACGTCGGAAAACTCTATATTGTCCAACGTTGTAACTACGTTGTCCGAATCACCTAAAGATCACTTAAGCAAAAAAGGTTACAAGACAACGTTTATTTGACGTCGCAGAAGCTTCTACTTTGCTGTAGTACTAGTCCAACGTCGGCACAACGTTATAAAAACGTTTAAATTTATTTTAATACCCAAGGTAGGGAGCTAACTATTTCTTGTAACTAATCCAACGTTGTGTTTAGTAAACATGTGGTCGCAAGTCGTGAAAATGCTACTTGGGTAAAGTAAAATATTCAACGGCAATGAAGAGGTACACGTTTGAAACATATTTTAATTATTACAGAATTAAAACTCGATATGTAAACGTATAATTATATGGCGAAAATTAGCTAGATGAAATCAAATGCTCAAACAGAGACATGAATTCTCCATTGAAAATCGGAATAATATACTGGATGTTCCATTTGAAATAAAAGAGTAAGTATTACATTCAACAATTATTTAAATTCATGTTGTAATTTCTGAATGTAGTCTTAAATTTACCTGTGTGAGTGCGGATATGTCCTTGAAGTAACCAAGGCCTCGAAAAGCACTTGCCACAGTACTGACATTTGCATCCCTGGTTGTGAGTGCGGACGTGCATAGAGAATGCAGGCATACTGACATAGAGTTTGTCACAGTGCGGACATCTTCGGGCTTTCTTGTCTGCAGGACTGCGGTGGGTTTGCTTGTGACGTGCCAAATTACTAGATGTACTATATCTGAAAGTATTTTTTTAATTATAATAATTAAGGTACTTATTCCGAATTGTTGACGAAATTTATTCTTTTAAATATACATGTGCTAACATTTTTAACTCAGAACTCTTTTCTTTTGCTTTTTTAAATAGGCATTATTCATTTTATACGGTTATACATTTTCGATTTTAAGATGAATATAAAAAACGATTTATGTAAATGAATTGAAGAATCAAGAGCCTTTAAGACATGAAGAAACTTTTGGTTATGTATATATTCACCTTTTACCACATTCCTGGCACTCATGTTCGTTACACTCTGACGATGAAGAGGTACTGCTTAGATTAGATATTTCACTGGTACTGCTATGAGGAAGAGCCACCGGTTGGGCTTTGGAAAGGTTGAAGAGGGTTTGGTTGATTTGTTCAGTCTAGAGAGAACAAACGAAAAATGATATTTTTTAAGATAGGTAATTTAGAATGAGAGATTTGTTTTACCTTTAATAAGTGATGTCTGGGTGTCCGAGAACTTTTGTCAAACAGCTTGTGAGTGTAGGTGATGAGATGCTTTTCCCTGTCTATCTCGTCCATATCCGAGAGCCTTGAATGATTGGAGTATTCGTCAGTGCTTCCCATACTGAAAAGAAGAATCCTTTATAAATCTCTAACATAATTTTAAAATAGCATCTTAATAGAAATAAACAGAAGTATTACAAGAACTACAGCAGTACTGGTAGTTGTTGTGAGCATTTCTTAACCATTTTAGCATCATTTAGTTATGAGCATTTTGAAAATCAAATAAATTACAGCCACCCACGCATTACTAATATACAAAGATGCATGAGTAATGCATTTTTTTATAGTTCATTGAATTGAAAATGCTTTTTTTATTTTTTAAATCTTTTCTTTTTTTCATTAAAATTTTGGCATAATTTCAATCTATTTTGTACTGTTTTTTTTATAAGATGACTAATTTAATGTTAGCAAACAGTATTTTAAAAAAGCATGTTTCTTGATTCAGTCATGTAAATTTCGAGACTTGCCACCAACTTTCGGAAAAAACGCAATATCTGGTTTCTGGTTTAAGATTTTTACTCTGTTTTTTTAATTATGCAAACAAGTTTTAAAAATACTTATAGGCTTAGTGCATTTCAGTTGATTTCAAAAAAATTCCGACCGCAGCGCTGTATACGGCAGAAATCAGAAATGTTCGCTATGTATTTCACGTCGCCAACGTTACAGCTCATGTTGATCGCATTAAAATAATATTTAAGTATTTTCCGACGGAGTTCGTCCGACGGCTATCTTGAAGAAACACGACGGACGGTCCGTCGCGGACGCTCCGCTCCATCTGAAAGCGCTGTTATAGCCGAAATAGTCCCAATTATGACCCCGCTAGCAAAACCGGTGCGTAAAACTACGCTCGGTACCGTAGTTCAACTCATCTAAAAAGTTTTTTAAGTTGGAATAATAAATTCTAATACAAGTTAGACTTTCTGAAGATACGATATTCTTTGATGGTGGCAGCACCGGCGGAGAATGCACCAAGCATATACCAACATACAGTGTAATTTTAACATATTTTCAAACTAAATTTGTATATTTTTAAATGCAATACTGTATATATTTTTACCTTAATGGATTTTCCATTTAATATCCATTCCAAAATTACAATATTATTTTTTATTTTATTTATTTAAAGTTCTCATATTGTATCAATAAAAACGTCAATTTTTTCTGAAGGTATTATTGATTGATATATTGACTTACCTCATGAGTTGTTGGTTCCTCTTCTCTAAAATTTGTCCGGTAGCTACAGCCACTTCGGCCAGCTTGGTCAAGTTGTACAGCTCATCGGGAAGATCAGAACTGCTGTCCGACATATTGATGTCCATGGTGGGTTCTGCCGTGCAGACGGAATGTTCTGGACTAAGTCCTGTCAAGGAATAAACGCTCTTTTTATTTAACTGGCAATGATAAATGTATATCAATTGTTCAAATCAATTGTTTCAAAATGTTCAAACCGTTTTTCAACTACTGTTGCTAAACATTTTCTTATGAAATTTTGCGCAGGCAAAGAATTCTCGTGATAATGCAATATTATGATTATTTCAGCCATCTTCAACTCTGTTTTTTACTCTAAAATGATAATTTATTTAAATAAAATGAAGAATTTAGTTAGCATGGTGTACTTATGGAAGAAACTTACAATCATATTGTCAAGACTTAAATATAGGCCAACTTGGGTTTATATCAAATTGGGAAAAATCATGTAAAATATAATTCTAGTAAACCAATTTGATGTAGACCCAAGGGAATCGGTCACGTATACGTCGACATAGACATGTTCTTAAAAAATGTCTATACCTATGTGGCGGATTCATCTCTCCAAAAAAATCCTTTATGGGTTTTTCGCCACTGCACTGCAAGAAAAATCTACAAAATAAAATAGTTATTTTTTGTAAACACTTCTGCGTTAAACCTAAACGGACGCTGCTTGTCAGAAGTTATATTTACAGTAATAAAAATTTGCCTAAAAACAAAGAAAAAAATGCTTAACGTTTCGGAAAATTTTCTCTTTCCGTCGTCGGAAGCAAAAAAATATAAAGAATAAAGAAAAAACTGTTTAAAATATTTAAATTGAACTATTCGAGAACACTTTACTTTTTAAAACAGATACGTCTACAAGAAACCGTTGACGCATTAGATTGGAAAGCCCGTAAAAATTTTAGGTCGCGAAATTATTTTGGGTCGCGACCGTTATATGCGATCTGGCGCTGCTATAGCGGTCGCTAAGAACAACGGCAAACAAAAACAGAAATAATTTTCTCTTGTCAAAGTCAGAATCTTTAAAAATCATAATAATCTTTCAAAATCTAAACCGCTCTCATTAAAGAAATTCCGAAAAGTGTTTATAGCGTCCATTTTCAAAGTAATTATTGCTATCTTGTGAGTTTAAATCAAGTTTTATTTACTCCAACCGGTAATAATTGTGAAAAAGTGGCATTAAAAACTTAAAAAGCTGTGCTGTGAACTGTGAACTCCAAATCCATCGTGGATCGTGGCATAACGTCGGTTTCCAATGTTTCATAGGTATTTCATATATGCGTCCTTATATAAAATAAAGTTTCTTGTGTGCAACACACTGTATTTTATTTATAAAATTTGTGAAAATCTCCCTTTCTTAAATAATCTTTATGTTCTTTAATTCTAACATTTAAGAGTCTAGATGTTTCACCAATGTAAAATTTATCGCATTCACAGGGTATTTGGTATATTACATTTTTTGTTTGTTGTTCTGTATTCATTATTTTATTCAACATAACTTCTGACAAGCAGCGTCCGTTTAGGTTTAACGCCAGAAGTGTTTACAAAAAATAACTATTTTATTTTGTAGATTTTTCTTGCAGTGCAGTGGTGAAAAACCCATAAAGGATTTTTTTGGAGAGACATGTTCTTTTAGTTAACATTATTAATTAAAACAATTAAAGTCAGGTCGATTTAGCGTGATGTTTTAAGGCAAGCTCGTACTAAATATCGGTGAATATACGAAGAAAACTGTTTATGACGCACCCGCCGATGATTGGGACGAGCGGACAAATAAAAACGGGTTTGCTGAAGACAGTCAAGGGAAGTCAGGCGGTTAATTTCAACCAGATCAGTTAGTTACTCCAATGGTCAGTCACAGTTGACAGTCAGTTAATCAGTAGCTAGTTAATCGGTAGAAGACAGCGAAGACGTTGAAGAAGTAGTACTCCTTTGACATACCTTGGCATTTCCGACAGTCTTGGCATTTCCTGGAATCGTCCTGATATTTTTATACACACTGTAAACTTTTGTTTGATAAATGTGTTCTTTTCTAATGGTTGTTTTGATTGAAAGAGAGAACCTGGTATAAGCGGTCCTAGCAAACAACACCCAGCTAGGTCGCGACAATATTGAAATCTAGAATGCCACTTTATCTAAAGAAGAAAACAGTCGACCAATGTGTACTACCAGCCATGCGATACCTGGATACTTAAAATGGACATATAAGGAAACTGCAGGTCGCACAACGCTCAATGGAACGAAATATGCTGGGAATATCCAAGATAGACCGTAAAAAATAGAGTGTATACGACAAAAAACCCAGGTAATAGATGTCATCCACAGAATCAAATCCCTCAAGTAGCAAGAAGAACGGACAACAGATGGACCACAAAAATTACAGCATGTTACCGACGAATAATTAAAAGACCTAGAAGAAGACCGAACCTGAAATGGGACCATGATATTAGGGATTACTTGGACCCGCATAACCAACAATAGACAACAATGGGCCCGACTACAAAGAGAGTATCTAAATATGTGAGGGAGGCTACACCATAATTGGAAATGAACAAAGATGTCGATTTGAGAGAGTTAACGTTGACACCGACTGATTTTTACTTTTAATTTATTATATATAGACTATTTTCACACAAGAAGGATTATTTTGGCAAGTTGTGGCGCACTGGTTCCGATATAAAAAAATTATGACGCCCGTATTGCGTCTCTACATATCCTCGATAGCGATCTGGTGTGTGGATTTTGGCACGGGGCCAGCAAGTATAAGATTGCGGTGTTGCGATTTCCAGTTTTATATACGACCACTTAAGTTGCGTTCCAGGATATGGAGTTCCTAGGATTTTGTTTTTGGAAAAAATGATATTGAGTAAGTATACCGGATGTCCTAATTTCAGTAAATTGGATGTTTACGAATCTTTAAAATTTAATTAAATATAAGAAAATGGAAAGCGAAGAAATTTTATATTCTGTTAATAAAGCTATGCAAAATAAGTGTTGGGTATTGTTCTTTACGTCACCTATAAAATGACGTCAATCGTCAGAATAACAGACAAAAAATTCACAAAGCTTCTTTTTTGAAGGTATATACTTTTAGAGTATTAGTGTGTTCTGAGATACACAATCATAGAAATATGACCATCACGTTTCTATGGCTATTATATTTTCTCATTCATCATTTATTCATTCATTTTGCCCTTTACTCCTACGTGGAACATAGGGCTTCAATATACGCTCTCTAGCGGGTTCGGTTGTTGACAATTGATTTGACATCTCGCCATGATCAGTTTACTGCTTTTTTTTCATTTAAAAGGAGATCGTCTAAATTGTCCTTTGCCATGTATGTCTTGGACGACCAGTTCTTCTACTGCCTTGTGGATTACATTCAATAGGTCTGCCAGCGATGTTGTTGCAGCTCCCACCTCCATTTCCTAAGTTTGATCTCGTTATACACCAGCCTCTGGTTGTTCAAGCTCCATAATTCCTCATTTCTCATAGTATTTGGTCAGAATTTTCCTACAATTTTTTGCAAACAGCGGTTTATGAAAACTTGGAGTTTGTTAATTAATGGCGATGTAATTTTCCAGGTCTCTGCACCATACAGCAATATTGACTTGACATTCCAATTGAAAATTTTAAGTTTAGTAAGTTGAGAATTCTGCCTAGATCTCGGTATAGAGTGTTAATATCAAAATTCATAAAATTTTATAAAGAATTCAAGTATGTAATAACAAATGGGGGTTTGGTTTGTTTTGTTATCCATTTAAAATAAGAAAGTTGCTGTCAACTTCCGGTATTTCCGGAAGTGCCACCATATTGATAATTTTTAATCGATAGATCTCGTTATAAAACAATGATTCTAAAATTATTCATCAGTGTCTTTTTAGCTTAATATTAGCGTATTTTTTACTTGATAACGACTAATCGACCTAGTCGTAGATTTAAGTAAACGGTACGATCAAAAATTTTTAAATCGAATGGGATGAAATGTGGCACGTAAATTAAATAACTTGTCTAATCCAGTTACACACAATACAATCATATTACTTTTAATCATATATTGCTACAAAGAGTGGAAAAAATCCTTAATATTTGGTCCAGTTAATTTCATAGTTCTAAAAACACAGCAGTACCACTGATTGTTTTTCAGTTCCGACCTGAAAACTGTTTTATAAAAACTAAAAATAGTTGCGTTTTGCGTTCTTGATTAGTAGCATTTTTGGCTTTTTACGAGAATTTTTATTTCTAATAAATTTACCGTAGTTGTTTTCATTTTCCTGGAATAACGCAAGAGCAACATTTCCACTATGACTACCGATCTATCGATTTTAGAAAAACTAAAAATAGTAAATATAAAACCGCAAGTATTCACTTAGCGCTCTAAAGAAAACAAACATTATCGGCTACTTCCAAGATTTCGACATGAATAAATTTCAGGATCTTTCGCAAAAATTAGCTAAATCGGGATTCATTGGACTCAATGATATATACTTTTTTTTAGCTTTAGGGATGTACTAAAAAATAGAATTAACATTAAGAAATACTGCGTTCAAACACACAGTTACAAAAAATAAGCCAATAAGATTTTGCTGTATTCAATAACGAAGCAAAAATGACATTTTTAGCCATGTCCAGAAGCTGAATACCGTCGCCGAAATACAACGCTGGACAGCAAAATGGCGCCTTAAATTGAATGAAAAAAAATCAGTGCATATCGATTTCACTAATAAACGAATCGAGTACAAGCCAGTATATATAAATCAACAAGTAGTTCCTTACGAAAATACAGCTAAATATCTTGGCATGACACAAACTAAGGTGGAAATCTCATATAAAGAAAAAATGTGAAGAACTCAAATTAAAATACAGGAAAATGTACTGGTTACTATTCAACCCTGTCAATATATAATAAGCTTTTGTTTTATCAACAAGTCCTGAAGCCAATATGGACTTATGGTATTCAACTTCGGGGATATACCAAACAACGCAACCGAAGTATTATCCAAAGATTCCAAAACAAGGTACTACGAGGTATTGTTAACGCACCGTGGTATATTCACAATGGCAATCTACATAAGGACTTAGAAGTGGATGATGTCGACAACGTTATCAGGAAATATGCCTTAAGACATAAAGAGCCACCAGCTCCTGGATAGTGAGGGCTTAGTTAGAAGACTGAAAAGAACAAAACCATCTAAACTAGCGCAGTGAAAGTGGTACTACAGCCCAGTGCATTCTAACATAGTGCTCCAACAGAACTGACAGAACCAAAGTTACTGTCATAGGATTAGTATTTTGTATTCAAATTCCATTCATTAAACCTCTCATGGCACCTGTGATGCAGGTGCGTGCCAGTTGCTGTATTTTGTGTAGATTTTACCTTGTTGTACGTTGCTCTGGTTTTGTGTACCAAGCAACTGCTACTTAGGTAATCATGGGTCTTACTATCATAGTATGCATGCAGGAAGAGGTTGTCATTGCTTTGCAACATCAGACAGTGGACAGGAATGAGGACAATTTAAGAACTAATCCATACAATACGGAATAAGGAAGAGTGGTCAAATGTGACTGTGAGCATCCATTAGTGGATTTACAGCAGAAAAAAGAGATCATTTTTGTTGACCCAAAAACTATACTATACTGCCATTACTCGCTGACAAGAATTCGACACGCATCAGAAGATCACGTCAAAACGTTTTCTTTCATGAGGTTTTCTGTGACTGAAAGGCCCGATACGTGATGTTATCTGCCTACCGCACTCCGGACATACAAAAACCTCATTGCTTTGTTGCCTCTTTACTATTTGGTTGTCGCTGTTAACTGAGTTTACAATTCTTCTCCATTGAGTTCTATTGTGAGCTGCTTCTTCCCAATCATTCTGCATGTGAATCCCCTTTAAGTTTTCGTGGAAAATGTCCTTGTACCTTTTCAGTTGTCCACTCGGCCTCCTCTTACCGTCTACAAGCTCACCGTAAAGCAGAGATTTTGGTATGCGGTTTTCTTGCATTCTGCATACGTGACTCACCCATCTTAAGCGGGATTTTGTAACCATGACTTCAATACTCTCACAGTTGAGACATGATGGAACCCCCGGATTCTTAAGAGTTGTCTAAGATGTCTCTATTGCAACTTGTTTAACGCGTTCATGTGTACGGCACCCAGGTTTCGCTCCCATATAAGATGGTGGGGATTATAATTGCTCGGTACACTGCAAGTTTCGTTTTTATACTCGAGTCATGATTGTAGAAAACCCTGTCTTTTAATTTTCAGAATGCTCTTGAGGCGCTGCTAATCCTGTGCTGAATTTAAGAGTTAATATTGGCCTTATCCGAAATCAAACTGCCGAGGTAATTGAATTCCGCCACATATTAAGTTGTTGTGATCTTCCGGGGGATGATTTTGTTTTTGTCGATGTTGAGCTTAATACCCAAAGCTTCGTATGCCCAGGTATATGTGTTCTTCTCTTGTAATTGTTGTAACGTAGAGCGTAGTCATCATATTGAAGTTCTGTGATCAATTTTTTACCTGTTTTTGCCCTGAGTCTTTTTATGTTGAACAGACCTCCCTCGTATCTGTATCTAATGCAGTTTGCTGTTCACTATAATGGAGAGCGCTGCCATGAATATGTTGAATAGGAGAGGCGCTAAGGCACATCCCTGCCTAACTCCTGTATTTGTTAGGAAGGGATCGCTCAGTGATCCATGATGGTGACATTCTTGACTTGCTGTTGTTATGGAGGCTTTTACACACTGTAAGAAATTTGTTGGGTACTCCGAACTTTTTCATAATTGCCCAAAGCGCATCTCTGTTCACGGAGTCGAAGGCTTTTGTTAAATCGATGAATGCAACACAAAGTTTAGACTGCTGCTCTTTTACTTTTTCCTGTAGTTGGCGGATGGAGAATATGGAATCGACAGTGCCGCGGTTGGTGCGAAAAACCGTTTGCGATTCTGGAAGGATTTTTTCTTTATATGGGTGCAGGCGGTTTGACATAATTTTTGCAAGAATTTTTCGTCCGATAGCCAAGAGTGAAATAGTTGACCCAAATAGCCAAATAGCAACAACCAGAAAAACAATAGGCGAGGCATACGGAGCGAGAGAGATTTTTGTGACGCAAAATTATTGACGGTGATTCAAGACTTCCTAGCCAACGTTTTGGCTACTTGTTAAAAGTCTGATCCGGTGCCAAATGCCAACAAGTTTCAGTCGCTATTTCCAATTTATAAATATAACCGCTTTAATAATAGAAACGAAATATGCAGCGGAAAGGATGATTTTTTCGGCAAGCCCACCACACCGTTTACTCATTATTTATTTACTCTAGTCGGGTATGAGTGGATGCGAAGTTTTTCCTTTGGACTGAACGCTTTATTTATAGGTTTAGAGGCAAATAACGCCATTAGTTTTGCTATTTTATGGCCAGAGGGCGGTGTTAAAAATGTTTATTCATTCATAAGATTTTACGCAAATTTTAAACTTTGTGATTATGAGTTAGTTCAAAAACTTTAAAGCTTCATTCAGAATCTCGAAATTAGTGGAATAAATTAGTGGTTTCAATTAGCATAGAAGTTTGTTGAAAGTATAAAGTGTAATTGAAACCAATAAGTTATTCCACTAATTGCGAGGTTCTGAATGAAGCTTAAGAGGTGTGTCTTTCATAAAAGTAACTGTACTTTCAGTACTTTGTTATATAAAATTGAGTCGGAAGTCCACCATTAGGGAGATATTGCGGTACAAGACAGCGAAAAAATAATGTTTTTATTTTTTAGCTTAAAAACGAAAAGGGCTTATGGAAGTATTACCACAGTATTATTACTGTTACTAATATTAGTGGTAGATAGCAAAAAGACAAAATAACTACCAGAGCAGAAAAACAACCTAGTACGAATAATTGTAGGTGTTGTCACTGTTGCCCTACGGCGGTAAACCTCGTGATATCAAAGATTTTTAGACAGAGTAGGCTAGTAGACATTAATGGCTGTTATTTATTGAGCGTCTCTAATATTGCTTTATTTGACATTCTAATTAATTAATTCTAGCCTAAATACAACATCGAAAATTATTAACATTTAAAAAACGGGTTGTTTCATATAGTTCATGCATTCATGGTCAGTATTACACTATCAAATTTCTTTGTCAAAGATTTTATTTTATCAAAGAATTTGACAGCGTAATATGTGCGATTTTATAAAATATTGTTTATTAACAATTTCAAATTTCTCATCAAACATCTTTTATAAAAGATCTTTGACAAGGAAATTTGATAGCATAATACTGACCTTAATAAGAAGGAGATGTTGTTTGTAAAAAACAACAAAGAATATAACACTATTTCAAAACAAGCAACTAAACTTCTTTTCTAAAGTAAATTTATTTGTACCAACCCGTATGATATATATTTAATTATACAGTGAGCTTCAAATAGTGTTGCATTTGTATTATACGTTATATTTATTAAACGTAAAACACTTTTTTAAATTATGTGGGATCAAAAGTCAACCATTAGATATTGATTTATAATTTCTATATAAAAGTTTATGTTATTAGGTATTACTGTTTTGTTAATACTATATGGCCCACTAGCACCAACTATTTAGCAACTATAGTCTGTCTAGCAAACAGACAGCATCCAAAAAATGAAAGAAAGTACAATTATTTATCTGTATGACAGGTATTCTTGCATTGGACTTTAGTAGCAGCCAGCTTAGTAATCATTAAAAATTTTCGAAATATTAACTTAAAAAAAATCAATGTCGTTCGGAAAACTTACCATTAAAAATTTAGTATAAATTTTAACATTTGTTAAAAAATCTACAGATCAATATTCAGCCCATTCAAAAAATAAATGGATCACAACCTTGAATGTAATTGGCGTCGACTGTTTTGTTAAATATAATATTATATTTAAAAAAATATATAGTTTAGCATTTAAAAAATACCAGTAACAGTTTAAATAAATAAATTGTAACATTTTTTTAATTATTCTCAATATTCTCAGTTCATTCCATTCCAATAAAATAGTTCACAACCTTGAATCTGATGGAAAATATTCAATACAAAGGAAATTCAGCTTCTAGGAAGGGTTTTGGTGCTTTGAACTTATAAATAAATCTCCAAAGATGATATTTAGAACATCAAAATATATCTAATCAGGGTTTCAGTATAGAAAAAGTGATGGTAAGTAGTTGAAATGATTGATGATAGTGTTGTATTGTCACGGCAACTCAGTGTGTGTTCTAGACTTCCTAAGAATAGATTAACAGAAGTACGTACATGTAAAAAAGTCTTCAGAGGTTCAACTTAATCAACAATATAGATAAACATTGCGTGCAATGTAATGTCAGAAATGTATGAGTTAGTGCATCATATTTGCATTGTATAATTAAAAAAAACAGTTATGTATGTTAAGTTAACCACATCTAGGTGATTTTTATACAAAAGCAGTTGTATTATCCCTTAGGTTATCAAACTCAAAAATATTTTCAACGTTAACGGAACCTTAAGGTCTGACTTGACAAAAATATAATAATGTTGACTTCACTACAGTTAGGTGATTTTATACAAAAGCTGTTATATTATCTCTATATGTTATCAAACTATATAATCAAAAAAATCGACAGAAAAGAAGAGTTGTTAAATACTTTGTCACTTGAATATTACATATAGAAAGTTAAAAATAGTATACCTGGAATATAAGAAATTAGAATATTTTTCTTCAACACAGGGTATAAAACAAAGACTGATTGATAATTTTTCTAAATTTAAAAATGCATTTTACAATCCAGAAGTCTATTAATTCTCTTTCTTTTTGAAAATTAATGCAGATATATTTTATAATAACCCTGTTAATAGTATTTAAGATAATAGTATTGAAGTTATTGCAATAAAAATGAAGGAAATGTAATTTAACATGTTTGCAATTTTACTCATAAAAAACAGTTTTAAACAACTTCTGGTAAAAGAACTCAAAACTCTAAACAATTATCTGAGAAAACATTCGTAAAAAATAAGCAAAATCTTCTAAAACAAGTTTATCTTTACCTTTCTTATCTCTGCCATCTTCGGATGCTCCCCCCATGTTGTACCTTCGGTGAGTCAGCAAGAACGCGCGCGGCATCTCTCTATTTTCCAAACTCCAATCCAAAAACCTCTTCCAATCCCAAAATGATCCGATACTTTATCGAATTACTAAACACCACTAATACAGGTTGTTTCCACCCTGACAAGTGTCAACTATTTTGACAAGAGCAACAATTGTTTTTTTCTAAATTGAATTTTCCGTTACCAAGGCAATGCGCTCGAATCACACTTAAATTGGGGATAAAATGTCATTATTGTGGTTTTTGAAGGAAAAATAAATTGTGTGGAAAAGGAATGAGTGAGTGATGTCTGGAATCGAAGGGTACTGAGTGCATGTGTTGTTGCTTGGCGCAGTGTCGCTATCAAACTGTCTTAAGTCGGGATGCTGCTGAGCTATATTTGACGCGAGTCTGGAACGTGCCAAACGCCGCTCAGGTGGTAGGGACAAGGGGCGTGAGGCCCCCGAATCGACGACGGGACGGGATTTAGTACGAGGTCGATGGTACGGTTTCCTGTGTTGGCGAGTGACGAAGTTTTGTTTTGGGGACAGAATAAAGCACATTATGAATTAAATCTTTTTTTATTTTTATACATTTTTTTTCAATATTAATAAACAACATCTTCTATAAGTTTTTTTATCTTTAATATGTTTATAATGTCAGATAGGCGTACCTACTTTATCGAATGCTTTAGTCAAGTCGATGAAACAGATATAGGCTGTGTATTAAACTCTATTGCTTTTTCTTAAACATATTGAAAGAGAAAAAAGTGCCTGATAATATTGTGAAAATTATTAGAAAGCTAAATATAGATAACACAACTCAAGTGAAAGCAGGTAATAATCTAACACGAGACATACCAACACCAGGAGGGATTAGACAAGGAGACAGCCTTAGTCCCTTCTTATTCAGTCTTTTAATGGACATCATCATAGAAAAGGTGACATCGATGAATATCGGTTATTGAATGGGACACAACAGAGTTAGCATGGTGTGTTACGCTGATGATGCAGCCATTATCGCGGAGACAGAGGACGATATGCAGAGACAGATTCATAAATTTCTTCGAGTAAGCCGAGAATTAAATATGATTATCTCCACAAAAAAAAATAAATGCTTAACTCTAAAGAGCCGGTAAGAGGCAAACTGGTAGTAGAAAACAAAATGATTGAGCAAGTATCACAGTTCAGATACTTAGGAATTGATATGTCGCACTACCATGATCCAGAGAAAGATCTGAGAAGTCAGATAAGCAGAGCAACGGTCATGTCAGGATGTCTGAGACAAATAGTGTGGACAAACCCCTTCATAATAACAGACGGCAAAATTAAAATTTATATAAGACCTACATCAGACCAATAATGACATATGGCATAGAAATCCGAGAGGAAACAAACAAGACCAAAAGCATGTAAGAGTCGTTGAAATGAAGAACCTAAGGACTATAATGGGGAAGACTAGAAGAGACAGAATTAGAAACACAAATATCAAACAACAATGTGGAATTACGGTACGTAGCCCATCTCACTAGGCAAAGAAAAAGACAATGGTTTGCACACGTAAACGCATGGAAGAAAACAGGCTACAACGTATAGCTCTTAAAGGGAAACCCATGGGTAAGAGACAGCCGGGTAGACCTCCAAAAAGACGGAAAGACAGTTGGCAGTCTATCTCCCAAAAACTCCTACAGAGGCAACCTTAAAATTAACAGATCGAAAGATCTCAAATAAGTAAAAGAAGAAGAAGTTTTTCTATGGACATTTAAATTTCAATCAATCAAATATGTACTTACTAAGTATTACAATTGCGGGTTCGAAACCTTTGATGTTACAACCAGAGCTGCAAGCTCACAGAAAAGTCTTTTTTTATTTAAATCATTTTAATGACTTAAGTCATTTTATTTTAAGTTATTTTTTGAAAGCTGACTTAAGACTTAAAAATTAAGTCTTTTTCAAAATAATTTTTGATTTAAATCTTTATTCCGAAATAGAAAAAGATTCAAGTCTTTTTAAAAAACGTCTAAGTCAGATTTTTATATATTTTTATGATAAATTTTTAACAGCAGTATCACTTTTTAAACTGTAACGCGACAGCCAAGCAGCAAAATGAAAAAGCAATGCTCAACACCATTAGTAAATAAAATGTTCGTTTTTTGGAACCGATTTTGATTTTGTTGTTACGCGTGCGTAGTTTGTCTGTTCTCTTTCAGGTGCAACCGCGACTCCGTTTTGTAGCCCGAAAGACAAACGAAAGAAATTTATCTCGAATATATTGGAGAGTACCTTAAAATCCTCCAGCCCATAGCTTATGCCATCGATATGTTCGAGGCAGATGCCGAATTCGGTCTATGTCCGAAAAACTAGACATATGGCGATTATAATTAAATATACCTACCTATATCCATAAAGTTACGCGGTAGAGTTTTGATTGCATTGGTTTCAACTTCTATGCCTTGTTAATCTTTTGTTGTTATATTATACCAAAAAAAGATTAACCCCCTCCGCAAAGAAGTTATATAAGACTATTTATAACCACGAAGTTGCACGCATCTGGCAAGTTTAATATGGACAAATCGCCATATGTCTAATTATTTTGGACATAGGCCGAATTCGGCATCTCCTCCAACAGATTAATGATCAAAACACATCACCACTTTTTAATAGACATGTATTCGGTGACATCTATCTGTAATGGATACATTACTATAAAATCGGTTAAATTTTATAAAAAAAAAACACATATTTTGTGTTTGTAGTTGTTATGGAAATTAACCGTTTTATTTTATATGGTTTTAGTCTCATCTGTATCTACAATAAATTAGACTTAAATCATTTTGGTTTTAGAAATGACTTAAGATTTAAGTTTTTTTTGAAACTTACTTGTTGCAGCTCCTGGTTACAACAGCAAAATAAAAGACTAATACACTAAAACGCTTTACTTTTAACATTCAGTCGTCGTTTCTCATTCACTATTCTTGGCATTTTAGTTATTAGTTATTCCATCTGGCATGATGGTATATTCTGGTATATTATCGATATTAAGATAAATTAATCGTTTCTTAGTTTCTAATTTCATTAAAATGGCCATAATCCAGGGCGCTTCTGATTTTGCTAATAATTTATTTCTATTTTGCTATAATATCTTTGTTTCTGATAGATTTTTAAAGCCAGACTTTTTTGCCAACCTGTATGTTTTCTGTTTGCAATTATAAAAATTCTGATGATTCTGATTTATAAATTTTAATTCTGATTTAGCAATTTATTAATTAGATTCTGATTTATAAATTTAAATAATTTATCAAATATTTAATACTACATTAAATATATAGAAGAAAAGAAAATTTATAAAATGTCTTATTAATATTAGTGTAAAATGCTTATCAATTATAATTTACTGTTGTCTCGTTCCTTACTTTGTCATTGGCTCCCGGACTACTACAAAGACGTGTTCGCTGACGGTAGAATAGCAGATGTAACCCTCTCTTGGAGATCGGTACTTCCATTTGGCCCCCACACGTAAGAAACCGCGTGGAGTTTTTGATAAGCCGAAGTACCACCTTGTAAAGCTACATCACATGTATTTTTTGTTACTTATTGTATTTTTGAAAAATCTTACGTACTCTATTATCAGTAATTTTTATTCGTTTCAGTTAGTTACTGCATTTTTGTGAAAAAAGTATAGAATATATGGTACGTTATTTTGTGTATTGACGTGCGAAAATTTTAACCGAGTTGGCGTATGCCACCGATCTTTGTTTTACGGCTGTCAAAATCGACTAATTATTTCGGCAGTTTTTCTTCCTTACTGTTTCCTGTTGGTAGGCTTTATTCCAGAATTACAATCTTGAACCTGTGAAATTTGAAAATGCTTTGTTTTCAGTGTTTTTGATTTAAATGCACTGTTTTGTTCATTGATGCACTAAGTTTACTTTATTTTTTCCATAGCAACTGTTAAAATGGCCTTATATCTATCAAAAATAGTAGATAAAATAGTACTTTAACCGCAAGGGTAGATTAAATGATACTTTAACAGCGAGGATAGGTTCAAAACTTTATTTCTTCTCGCACGTTTTTAATTGCTTCCATTTTTGAAAATTGTTGTATTCCTTTTTATAAGTTATTCGGGATTTAAATGGAAGTAGTTTGGATATGGCGTTTGTCGCGTCTACTTATTTCGTTTTGAGCCATTTCTGGCTCCAATTCAATCAGCAATCGACACGAAAGAGAATTAAAGAAATATTGACATATGACAATGACTAAAGAATCCAAGGACAAATAACACCCGAGAGCAAATTGTGACGCTGTCACCAAACAGTGCCGTGGCACATATTTTTCTTAACCTAACTGTTTGAAGCAATATTTATATTTTTTGATAATTGTTTTGACTGCGCCTATGGTGTATCATCCTAATTAATTACGAAAAAAACGTATTAAAATGTTAACAAAAGGTACAAAACTAGTATCGACGTATATCACATATCAAGTACATATAGATGTTAAATGAAATTGAAGAATAATTATCGAATTCAATAAGAAAACGCTAAAAAGTTGGAGTGGACTGTTTATTTACCTATGAAACGTAACTCCTGGCTCTTTCTCATCGCTGCTGCTTTTACACTTGAAAGCTGAACAACTAATCACCATTGTAATAAATTTTATACAAAGTTTACTACATACAAACTATTAAAAATCGCTAAAATTGTCGCTGGTGACCAAATGATGACTCATTGTTTGCCACCAAAACAAAAAAAAAGGTCACAAATTCTGCTGCAGCCCGTATAGGGGCGTTAAATGTCCTTATATTCTTTAGTCATTGGTATATGACATTGACTCAAAACTGACAATTAAAGAGACAGTTTTATTTATTTGTCAAATTGCATAGAAACCAACGCCAATCCAGCACAATATATCTACTCGTAATAAATTCCTTGAAATAATAATTTCTGAATATTTTTTAAAACGTAACTCGCTATGGAAAAAAATATTGTTTTATATACGACGATAAAATTACATTATCGTCTCCCACGAAATTAATTCACTGGCCCTTGCTTCGCTCGTGAATTAATCTTTTCGGTCGACGATAAAATACCATTGTATCGTCTTGTATAAAAAATAACTATTATTTATTTAGTATATTTTTAGTCTGAATTAGTTGACATGTTTATTTTTATTCCAATTTGTTAAAGTAAAACAAATCATTGAATACAATTTTGACTTTTTATTTTCTCTAAAACTATGCATTTCCATACCCATGTTTATAGGAACATTTTTTCGTATTTTTTGATAAAGAATCAATGAGTACTTATTTAAAACTTTCGCAAATTAATGATATTAAACTTATTTAAAGGTTGCTATTAGATTCTGATCAAGGCAAATTAATAAAATTGCGTTTATCTCATCAAGGAGGCCGAAATCGACAAAATATCAAGAGACAACTTTTAATCGGCATTAAACTGCTTACACTATTTCGCCAACAAGCGAAAAAAAGGCAGTGGCGTACATGCTTTATTAAGAAAATATTCCAGTGATAACCATCATGCACGTCCCTGGTGA